TTGGCTTCCAAAAATACTTCAGCCCTCCAAAAGCTATAGCTCTGAAACTCCTGATTCTGTTCCTTTTATTTTTGCTGAATCTCGGAGAATCAGTAGATTAGAAAGAAAAGTTCTTTAGCTTTCAGTAGAGGTTGCACATTCAGACCTACAGGTTGCATCAGTAGCTATAAGGAATGCAGCTCCAGAAAATTAAAGCACATCCTCCTTTCTAGTAGATTCCTTCGCCCCCCCCCCCCAGACTTTCATGACAGCATTCCCAGTTCCTGAGACATGGGACAAATAAAATTCAGTATGTCACTACCATTGCTTTCAGAGTAGATTACACATTTGTGAGATAAATGGGTAAATGTGAATGTGGAAAGTGTATTACTGTCAAGGTATAATGATTGATTTTATTAAGAATGATGACTTTTAGTTATATAAAAACTGTCCAAAATATTTTAATAGTTGCTTGATCAAAAGTAAGTCATGATGTCTGAGGTCTACAGAACTATTTAAAATATGTCAACAACAAAAAGAAAGCAAGAGATGAGGCAAGTGCTACTAAATTGTAGTAGTAATAATGTGGGGGCATTATCCTATTGGTTTATGTATGAAACCTTTATCACAAAATAAATATTAGTTAAGGTCTGGGATAGTTAAAAGCTTATGTGACCCTTCAACTGTGCAGGAAATGAGTGTCCCACCCCTCATTGTTCAATGGTCAACAATACTATCAAGTTGCATCAGCTATAGAAAATCAAACAGAATGAATTTTGGGGTGTCATTTTCTGTTCACGATTGAATAATCTGAATACATAGAAGAAAAGTGCTGTAATTACTGTTTATACTAAAGTCTAAAATTTTTTTTTCCTTCTGATCCTTTATACTCCTGCTATGAGTGAAGCCATCAGTATTTTTCTTTTTCTTTCTGGCTTATTTCACTAAGCATGATCCCTTCCAGTTCCATCCATGTTGCTGCAAATGGCACAAGTTTGTCTTTTTGATTGTTGAATAATATTCCATTGTGTATATAACACCACATCTTCTTAATCCAGTCATCTATTTCTGGGCATTTGAGTTGATTCCACATCTTCCCTACTGTAAACAGGGCAGCAATAAACATAGGGGTGCAGGTGTCCTTTTGAAGTATTGTTTTTGTGTCCTTTGGGTAGATACCTAGGAGTGGAATTGCTGGGTCATATGGAAGTTCCATTTTTAGCAACCTCCCAATGTTATTTTTCACATTTCCTATTACTTGTCCTCTTTAGCGACTTCTGACTTAGGCTACAGAGTAGGGTTTACCTAAGCTGATGGCTCCCAAATTGCAAATTCTCAGTTTCAGTAATGGGAATCTATTTTTTTTTTAAGATTTATTTATGCATACAGAACTGGGGCACAGGCCAGAGGTGCAGGGGCAGTGAGACAGTTTACCAGAGACAGAGCAGGGTGCAGAACAGGCAGATCAACAAAATACACTGCTGAGGCGAATAGTGGGCGGGCCAGGAGAGGTCTGCCACACCATGTGTATCAACTCTGGGGCAGGCGGGTACTGAACTCATGCGGAAGTGGCTTTAGCTTCTTAGTACTGTGCTTTAACCTGCTGCGCCACCAGGGAATCTATTGTTTTAACTGTACAGATCTAAAAGGCTAGGGGGAAGGCCTATGTGGAAGTCAGTAATGCAGTATCTAAAGGGAGGAGAGTAAGGCGTCCTTGGTGGTGCAAGGATTAAAGACAGCTCTATTAAGCTATTGTCAGACACTGAAGCATGAGTTGTTTTCCGTAGCCTGGCCATGGAGCTAATCCACATGGCACAGATGATCTATTCTATCTTGCACACCGCCCCCCCAACTAGCTGCTCCCCTCAGCAGTGTATTTCAGTATGTCTGCCTATTCTGCTCCCCACTCTGTCTCTGGTGAATTCTGTCATTGCCCCATTGCCCCACCCTATCTCTAGCCTACACCTCAACTCTTGTATACATAAACAAATCACTAAAAAAAAGTTTTTAAAAAATAAAGGGAGGAAAGAAGAGGCACAACAAAGTTTTGTTTTCAACTATAAATTCAGTAAAGAAGGGCATAATTACAGACTAGGAATCATAGTTATTAAAAACTCTAGAAGACCCTGAATTCATGAAAAAAAAAATGTATGTGTACAATTCTGTTCTGTTCTGTTCTGTTCTGTGTTTTTCTATTCTAGTCACACAAACAAAAAGATTAAACACATAATAACATGCTAAAATTGATGAAATTTCTAGAAATTACGATTATATATTTTGTTGATTTTCTACAATGAGCACAAAGCTTTTTTTAATAAGGAAAGAATTTTTTGTTGTTGTTGTTATGGCTGTTGTTTTTTTAAAAAGCAAAAAGGCTGCATGTTTTTTTTTTTTTATGGGGCAGCTAAGAAAAATGTTACATGGCAGATGTAACTCTACAGAATAGTAGTGAAAAAAAAAAATCCCAGGGACGAATGGGTTTTGAAGCATGAAAGAGGAAAGAAAAGCAGGCTGGCTGTCTAGGGCTCAGTCTTAAAAAGAAGAGACTTTAGAGAACCCATCTGGTGTGATACAATCCAAGCAGCACCTGGATCTTCTTTCTGCTGGGCCTTCCAGTCAATCATCAACTCCTCGTTGTTAACCTTTTGAGATACCACAAAAAGATCCCGCCAGCTTAAGTAGCTGCAGTGTGACATCAGCAAACCCAGTGGCCTGAGCTTCCAGCAGAGTGATGACAAAGGCCCCCTTCAGAAACCATCTTCCTCCATCTCCTTCCACCTCACCACAGCAACCTACAGACAAGGATGCATGCAGCAAATGTGCACTCCTCTACCATATGTGGACCTTGGCAAAGCTGTCAAGAGTTATTTTCAGCAAAGGATTCATTTAGTTTTGGGTTGGGGAAAGCAGAAGTGTAAACAAAGTGATGCATGTTTCATTTAATTCAAATTTTAGAGTTACTGGGACAATGGAGATCATATATAAATATATGAGTAGGGTCTAACCTTCACAAGAAAAAGGTATAACGGTAATACTATGGGAACAAATTATAACTGAAGATCCAGTCTGCCATGGTTTAAAACTGACACTTCATTATATCACCTTTTCACCAAACAAGGGGGGAAAACGTGGTTAAATCAAGTCATCTTTAAAAAGGTAAACTGTGATGCTGACTGATTTTGGTGGATCTCCAAAACTGGCAATCTTTAATTATGACAACTGGCTTGCTGGGTTGACCAGACCTTTGGTCAAAGCTGAGAAGGAACAACTTTACAGGACTGGTGATTTCTAACTACACACTACTACCAATGATGGGACAGAATTTGGGGGATCAATTTTTCAGAAAGCATTTTATACTTTCATAAAATTTGTGTGGACATGAGGTACCAATTGCATTTATTTTATCATTGTAATTAATTTTCAGTTGGCTCATACTGATTTCATTTCTGCAAAGTAAACAAGTCCAGTTTAACTGGAGTGGCCTTCACTCAGACTCTGAGACCTGCTGTGAAGTCTCTGGTATACAGTTAATATTAATGCTGGAAAACAGAAACCTGTAATTGGAAGTTTAATCCAACTGAAAGAAACTTCTCAAAATGAACTAAAGCCTAACGCTGACATAACATGGGCTCAGGTAAGCTCTGAGGAGGTGTGGGGGCGGAATCAAGCCCAGTGGCAGATGTGTTAACATCAGTATTGGCCACAGTAAGCTTTCTAAATGAGTGCAAAGCAGACCTTGTTCCAATGGACAATCCACAGACATCAAAGCATCCTCAGCAAACTCTGGGGAGGGGCCTGAGGTCAAACCCCCAACAATGAATATTGCTACTGAATGTTTTAAGATCAGTGAATGTTTTAAGAAAAGGTTTTAAAAAATTGCTAAATTCAGTCATCATTAGAATTGCTCCTGGTATGCCCAAATATTACAAATATATAAAATGTATTTATATACATTTTAAAAGTAGCACACAATCTTAGTACTGTCCTTATTCCACACTATCACAATGCACTTCAAAGGTGTCCCCACTACCAGATCAATGACTTCCAATCCAACCTCCACATAGCTACTAAAGTTCTAAACACTATGAACATTGGAAAATACTTCAAAAATATTAAGGACCACAGGGATACTTTAAGCTCTCAAATGTACACAACCACCTGTTTACTTTTATCAGCTCAACATCTCATCTAAACTGTAGGCTCCAGTAAAGACTCCACACCTGGAGTTCCCTGAACACACCCTATTCTGGCTTTGTGCTTCTGCACATACTTCTGTGGTCTGTGCTTCCCTGTATTCATCTAACCAGCAAACTCCTTTTCATTCTTTCTGTCTAATGCAAATGAAGAATCTTCTGTAAAGCACTCTTAGTCAACTAATGGTGCCTCTACTGTATGCCCTCATTATTTGTACATAACATTTTACAACAGTTCTTATGCAACTGCTAGTATTATTAAAATACCAATTTATTACATTAAACCATAGGTTAGGAACTATCTATCCCCATGCATCTAGAAAAATGTCTAGAGTAGGTACTTAATATTTATATAATATACACTGATACAGTATATTTTATTGTATAAGTATTGCATACTTTTATGTACATATCTGAGTAATAAATTTCAGGAGTCAATTCATACTGGTTTCTAAATGAAAACAATTCAAAGTTTAACTCCTAACTAAAAAGAAAGTAAAAATCTAACCAAACATCAAACCAAGAAAATTAAGAATATAAATATTCCAATTTGGAATTACCAATCTTCTCAAACATTAATTTGAAAACAACATATTGTGGAAAAGTTTTTTTTTTCCCTTTGCATACTGCTGGTGGTGGAGGAAGCACTGTAAAGTATTATAAAGTGAAATAATTCAAATATGTATTTTCATCTTCAGATCAGTTCAGTAAGAATGGCTGGTAGCCATTCTATGATCAACTGCAAGAAAAAAAGAATCTGCACACAATATTCATTTCCATATATTTTAACTTTCATCAGGGCCTGTCTAGTGCCTGCATTGAATTTACCTGCGCTAAAGTAGGGAATGAATTTTGACCAGTCTCAGTCTGCATATGAGCAGATTTGCTCTCTGCCACAGAATCTGTTACACTTCCATCCTGCTGAGATTCAATTGTTTCCATGGTCATTTGTCTGAAAAGACAGCAAAAAGGAAGAAATATTAAGGCACTATCTAAAATATTTCTCTTTTTACCTAACTTTCTGATTGTAATTTACATTATCCAATTAACTATTTTGTATTTTTGAGAAACAGGTTCAGAGACAAAGTCTTAAATTTCCAAATTTAAGGTACCATCTGTGCTCACTAGATATGAACTAAGGGAGAACTGCAAATTTTTTATGGGAATTAGTTTAATTTCTTATAATAAAGCCTCTTTGAAAATTATTTTAAGTCCTCTAGTATGAATATTTTATGTAAAAATATAAATATTATGACTTTCAAGGCCTAATATACCTGCTTCATATGATGCAGTATGGGAGAATTCCTGTTGTCTAAATTGAACATGCAGTAATGTGTCTTGTTTTGTCAGCACTAAGTAACTTTTAATAAACAAGTGTCTCAAATTCAGTCACAGATGATCACTTCCCTGTAGCTCTCAGTTAAAGAGAATCTAATTTTTCAAGGAAAAACTTCAGACATTTATAAATTTTTGCTTATGAATTTGTTAATAGTTTATATACAGAGTCTTCTCTAGAAAATAAAACATACTCTAACACATTTTACCTTACTAGGAGAAAATAAAAAACAAAATAAATTTTAAAAATTTACAGAAAACACTCTCCACTGATATATTCTTTCAATTGTCATTACTATATGTATTAGTATTTGGGTTTTTTCCACCTTAGTAGTCTAAGTATAGATCCACAAAATATACAAATCACTTAGGACTTCGAATTAAAATGTCCATTACTTTTTTATTCCAGATTTAGTTACTAAATCCTATAGATCCATCATCTACTATCTTTCACTGAACCTTCCTTTACATTTCAACAGCCACTACCTGAATCCAAGCCTTCCATTCTCAGATCTTTTTGAGACAATTTAGAGCCATTATAGAAAATAAAAATCTACAGATTTCTATAAAAATATCTTTCTCACCTCACCCCAGTGAGAATGGCACATTTCAAACAACTAGCAACAACAAATGTTGGCGAGGATGTGGTGAAAAAGGAACTCTCCTGCACTGCTGGTGGAAATGCAAACTAGTACAACCACTATGGAAAACTGTTTGGAGGTTCCTCAAACTGCTTAACATGGAGCTTCCCTACGACCCAGCAATCCCACTCCTAGGTATCTACCCAAAAGACACAAAAACACTGATTGAAAAAGATACCTGAACCCCCATGTTTACTGCTGCTTTCTTTACAATTGGAAAAACATGGAAGCAGCCCAAATGCCCAAAAGTAGATGACTGGATTAAAAAGAAGTGGTACATATATACAATGGAATATTACTCAGCAACCAAAAAAAGTAAACACATGTCTTTTGCAGCAACGTGGATGGAGCTGGAAAAGATCATGCTTAGTGAGATAAGCCAGAAAAAAAAAGAAAAAGAAAAAAAAAATACCGACGGTTTCGCTCATAGCAGGAGTATAATGGACTAGGCGAGAAAATAATAAGAATAATGAACAGTCATATACCAGAGACATTTGTGGGGGGTGGAGTGGGGAATGGGATCAAAAACAGGGAGAGGGAGGGAAGTGCACGGGACTATGGTGATGACACATGGATGACTCACTCAGTGATGGGAAACTCACGGGGATTACAATTGAGATAAAAAAATGTACAAAATGATGTAAAATAAACTATTATATTTAAAAAATTTTTTTCCAGATTTATAAAGTGCATAAAAAATCTTATTACAAATTTGAAGCAACTTGAAACGTCATTGTATTGAACAAGTGGAGGAAAATAATAAAATCCATTTGATCTCATCAAAAAAAAAAAAAATATATATATATATGTATATATATCTCAGAATGTCCCGATTTTTTTAATCTCTATTTGTAACTTTCCCAGCATAACCTTTCCAAAACTAGGTAACAGGTTATCACCATGCATAAACTGCCAATTCCTATGGCTCCACTTTTACCTACAGAAACAGTCCCCAAAGAGAGCACTTGAGAACATTAGTTCTACAGAACATAAAGAGGTATTTATCTGGGAAAGGAGGTATGGGAAATATTTAGTCAAATGGTTTTAGATATCCAGATGAAAAAATTCTTTATTGCAGAATTTCTCAAAAGTTTGAAGAAGCCAGTGTGCCTTGCTTGGTAAAGGTGGAACACTTCCAAAAGTACCTGGCCATCAGACACCCTTTTCCACCAAGCCTGTTCAAGCAATTGTGTTTTGTAATAACTTGAGAAATGTTGTCTCATATGATCACTTACAGGTGTCTCATATGATCACAGGTGTTTGTCAACACCTCTCTTAAGGTTCTGCCAAGAACCTGCGTGTTGACTCAAACATTACGTTGTAAGCCCCTTCTGAGTAAACTCTGTTCATTCTAGAAATATTCACTTAGCACCATCTAAATGACAGATCTTCAAGGTTAAAGTATGGTCTTTGTGCCTAAGGCATTTTTTTTTTAAGGTGATTCAAGTTTTCTGGGGGAACTAATATTTTATAGGTAAGCATCTCCAATTTATACTAAAATTTGAGGGAATAAACTTAGATTATTGGTAAATTCTATCAAGGAAATCAGTAAAGCCTTAAATTACATGACAGGTTATATATATGAAATACTTTGAGGAACAGGAGGGTTTGCTGAAGTCTGCTGAGGATAGAGTATTTTCATTTATAGGAGGATTATGATGGGAAGACAAGAATATGTTTGGAAAACAGGATAATTAATTGTAATAGAGAATCTTGGTGAGGGTTTGCGGAGCCTATTTAGCCTACTAGTGGGGAGGAGGCAGAGCAGTACTAGTAGAAATACTGCCGGGAAGGCTGGCTGGAATTACATTTGGAATTACTTTTAATATGTGTCAAGAAAAGCACCTCACTTAGATGCTTCCTCTAGATTCCTCAGTATCTAAGTATAGTATCAACTAGTTGGTATCTATAAAGAATTCAGTCAAGAACCAGACCATAAGCAAAAATAACTGGTTAGTAGGCCAAACAAATGGTCCAAAGTCCATATACTGAAACTTCTAAAATTAAAAAGAACCTTTTTAGTCCATATTTTAAAACCATTCAATTTTATTTCTCATGTAACTAATTTCTAAATATACTGGATATAAGAAATAACAGCTGACAGTGGGGATGAGGTGGACTATATACAGTACAATAAACAGACCAGGAATTCCAAGTATACGGCAACTTCAGTCCATATAGGGTTAAGTTGTTTACATCTTTATACATAAGATATCACAGTTTTTTGAGTTAAAACTCAGTAACTGATATTTACAATAGCCATCCTGAACTTATACTTATTATACTTTAAGGAGAGAAGTACATGTGATAAACTCTAGGAAGACACCCTTCAAAAATAGTTTTAATGCTTAAAAAAGTAAACCTAAACTATTTGGGACTTAATGATGAGGTACAATGAAATACTTCTAACTTTTTAAGCATTTCCTAATACTTACACACTAAAGTGTTTTCATACATAATAATATCTAATCCAATCATCTTAGTGGTTCCTTTTTTTTTTTTTTGCTGTCCTGTGTTTTTCTCAGAATTCACCTTCAACTTTTCCTTTTTACAACCTGCTCTGTCTTCTTCCATCACACATGCAGAGGGTTCCCAAATATTTGAATACACCTTTCTCCTTTTAAGCATCCTAACCTGCAGTTTTTCCACAAATGCCTGTCCCTTCCTTTATAATTCTTCAGTCAAGAGCATCTCCATTCATTCATTCAAAGCTCCAAAGTTCAGAATCATGTGAATCAGCAACAGATCAGCTATCAAAAAACTCAAAAAGGTAAATTATAGTCAAATTAGGATGTCACAAGGCTCTGAGTTTCCTAGTGAAGAAAGAAATGGAAGGTCAATGGTGACCTTCTTTTATCCTCCTTATCACGCTTGGCATCATCCACTGTTAACCCCCACCCAGCACTGGATGAAACAGTTGAGCTGCATCTCTATGGAACCATACACCACAAAATGGACCACCCCCAGCTATGACTGACCTGTAATGTTCATGCATCCATGCAAGTATCACCTCCACTAGCATCTCACATTTCTAGATTCCCACCAACAAAAGATGTGAGTTTCTTCTATAGTTCATCATCACTCACAGAACTAATCTTGTTTCTCCCCTGACCCACAGTCTATTGCTCACTCCCATTCTCCTTCCAAATCTTTGCAAAGTACTGCTTGGCACTCTCAAAGACCCTAGCAGCCCTCTTAGCTGCTGTCTTTCCATACCTAATCAAGATACAGTTTTTGACTTTGTATCCTCATACTACTATCTGCTGCTTTTTCTCTACTTCTTAAAAACCCATGTTCCACTGAACCTCAAGATAATTAGGTGTGCCATCCTTTACCCACCCACATGATAATCATCACCTTCTATTCATATCCAGGAGGTAAAGGAAAGACTGTGCCCCAAATTGTTCCACCTCTGAAATAGCAACCTACTACCAAATAGTCTAGCTTTTTCCAATTGTCACCCTCCCTCCAAGGCTCATATCACATCTGCTATTCTACCACAAGGAGCTCTTCAGGCCGCTTTCTCCTCTTCCATCACCCTCCCCGCCTTTCTTCATATCACATCATATTCAGTTGAGAAGCTATGCTTTCTCATTTTAACTTTTACAAACACCCTAAGTTCTCTTGTCCCCTTTCCTTTTTTTATCTGTTTAGTAAATTTCAATCTTACATAAAACCAGTTCTGTCCCCTTTATGCCTAAATCAAGGCTGATAAGCAATAGAGAATAAAATTATAAAACAATTTTATTAAGCCTATTGATTTCATGGGTTTTCCATCTCAGGTGGGCAGGAATCTTACTGTTTCCCTAGTGAGCTCATACCCCATTGTTCAGAACTGTTTAAAATGTTCACCTTCTTCTCAAATCCCATAACCCATCTACAACCTATACTTAAATAAAACCTTTTTATTTCTATTCCAAGAAAGAACTCTCAGCTTCCTGACATCAAACAACCCTACTTACATCCACACTCACCATTTCCCCAGGTCTCCTGCTCCCCACTCTTAAATTACTTTGTCTTCTAGATGTGTGTTCAGAGGCATTATACCATCAATTACCCTCCCCCCTTTCTAGTTGTATCCCCCACTAAAGGGCAGAAGCTTTCATTTCCGAGATTTGCACATGTTCAAGTCTCTCCAATTTCAAACACACACACACAAATCCAATGAAACAGAAGTCCTTCTTTAGTTATTCTCTTGAATCTCTCTTTTCCTTCCCACTGCTAACCTACTTTTAAAATCTGCCAACATTATCTCCATTTTTTACCTGCCATCTATTCTAAACCACAAACAGGCTTCTACCTCACTAAAATTCTATAGGAAAGGCAACCAACCCATTACTAAATTAAAGTTCTTGGGGTGCTAGTGGGTGGTATAATGCCCCTGAAGGGAGACGCAGAAGACAGAGTAGTTTAAGAGTGGGGCAGGAGACCTTGGAAAATGGTAAGTATGGATTCCCTATTTGATTCCTCAGAGGAATTCAAATGTTGGCATTCTTCCTTAGACTCTTACATTGATGTCATAACTAAATGCATTTTGCACTCACCTGATTCTCTTGACAATTATTCCACAATCACCTTTGCCAAGTCCTTTTCTGATTCAATGTTAACTTCCAACATTGCATGTGTCTTTAGTGCTATATTTTTACTTCAAGCCTTACTTTCAAAACCCCTCGCTACCCCATGTAATATCATCCATTTCTTTTGATTCAAATACTAGCTTTAAACTGTAACTCTCAAATCTACATTTCTAGCCCAGTGGTCTCCCCTGAATTCCAAAATCATCTATCCAAATGCCTATTTAACATCTCCAAACAGATGTCTTGCAAGTACCTCAAACTCAGTGGATCTACCACTAGCCTTCTCTTCCTCCACGAACATGCTCCTTTCTCTGAATTTCTTATCTCAGGAAATGGGAACATACCATACACCCAGTTTCTCAAATCATAAACAGGTTTCATCCTTTTGGTTTCCTACGGTGTCATCACCAAGTACAATGAATGACTCCATCTTCTAAAGAACAATTTAGGCCCACTTTTTTTTTTTAAAGATTCGTTTATGCATACAGAAGTGGGGTACAGGCTAGAGGTGTGAGGGGTGAGACAGAGTAGGGAGCAGAACAGGTAGATTAAAATACACTGATGAGGGGGAACAACAGGTGGGTCAGGAGAGGTCTGCCATGCCATGTGGGTTACCTCCCTGACCCAGGATCGAACCTGTGCTGCAGTGGCTGTGGTAGCTTCATAATGATGTGCTTTAACCCGTTGCACCACCAGGGAGGCCCCCTTTTTCTAATACTAAATGCTACCACTCAATGTCCCTACTCCAAGGGAGATTGCCAACCTAAGCCAAATACTTCTATATAAAATACTTGTCTGATTGTAAGTTCTTCACTACCACTTTCCAATGCTTACCATTTGGTGACTACCTTGTAATTTTAACAATTTTATAAGGTCAATATAATTAATTCTTTTAGAGATAAGGAAAGCATTAGGGAGTTGAGAATCTAATCATACCACAAAGGTACTGAGTGGTCACAGGCAGGTTTTGAACTAAGGTCTTCTTCCAAAGTCCATATTGTCATTACCAAACCAAACTGTCATTCAATCTCTTTCACAATGTGTCCCTATTTCACTTTCACAGTCAGTGTCCATTCCTTCCCACACTCTGTATTCTGGCCTCTTTATAAGCCATTTTTTCAGCTTTATCCTTCCCCACTCCTTTATCCAACAGGAAAATTCTTAGTTTTTCAAGGGTTGGCTCAAAGACACTATTAAAAAAAAAAAAAAAGATTTGTTTTTTCATAAAAGAAATAGGGTGTAGTCCAGAGGCGTAGGGGAAGAGAGGATTCACTAGAACAGAAAATGTGGATTTACTAAAAAACACTGTTGAGAGGAGCAGTGGGCGAGTAGAGAGGCCTGCTACAACACGTGGGTTAACTCCCTGGCTAGAGATTCTTAAAGATAACATAGAAACAAAGGAGCAAAAGGAAGTATAGGCCCAAAATATTTCATTTTCTAAATGAAAATAAAAGAAAAGCAGTTTTTAATTATAATTAAAGCATTTGATAAACTGATAAGCATCTAAAATCTTAGTTATATTCATATGAAAACATAAATTACACTGCATAACAACTATATTTACAATTTTTAACCTCTCATAAAGACTCCCACTGAAAAACAAATAAAATATTAAAGTTGCCTCTATTCTCTACATTTAAATCATTTTACAAAAATGTCACAGAAGTTTTCCTCTTAAAACTAAACTGAAGTGATAAACCACAAACTGTTTCTGAAAGTAACCAAAATGAAAACTGAAAAGTTCAATTTGGATTTCTGTAAAACACTGGTAAAGACTTTCTTCTATTTTATACAGTTAGATGCACCTATAACTCAAAGACAAGGAAGAAAAAATCCCTGCCCACATCCTTGCTTATGAACTACTTTCTACCAGAAAGGCTAGCGTTCAGAGTAAGCTGAATGCTTTGTCACGTACTGCCTGTTGCCTACCACAGTGCATGGTAGAACATAAACCCTTTAATAGAACAGCTGAATGATATGGGCATACATTATACATATTACATACATCAGCGTAATTATTAAATATGCATATTTTATTCCTGTATTATATGTGTACGTGTATGTATATAGATAGATACACATTTACCCATCATTTTAACTTTGAGCTTTCTAAGTAGAACTTTCAAGAGAACAGATTTTTTCAAAGTAATATATATCCACCTACCTTAGATTTGTCTTAATATATTTTTTCCTGCCACATTTGTTCATTATTAAGACATTTGTAATCAATGTTCTCCTCCTTTCCCGTTTTCTTCTTTATTTATCCTGTGGTAAAAGCATAACATTGAATTTGAAGATCATAACATTTGATTTTTATAAATGGTAAGATTTCAAATAACCTAAGTCATATCCTATTTCTCAGACTATTTTCTACTGAATAGAAAGCAGTGCTGAGAAGTCATTCAATAGACACTAAAATACACAAGATTTTAGGTATCAGTTCCATTTTTTAATTATAATAATCACTTAATAAACTGGATGATTGGTCTTAAATCTCATTCTACTGCAACAAATGTCAATCAGTTTTCATTTAACTTAAATTTAAAACTGAATTTGTTAAAGAACAAAACATCAAGTTCAAAATTTCCTGCTGATACTCTTCGATCTATTTAAAAAGTTGTTTTAGATACTCCAGCAATGATCCCCAATTATTTTTTAGAAATAGATGCTTGACATGCTGAATGAAGTAAAATTGGCAAAAAAAAAAAAAAAAAGAAAGACAAAAAGATGTCTATGTGCTTAATTCATTTGGAGTTGGAAGGGACAAACATGCACATCACCAAATGCTTTCTGGCATCCATCTATACCAACAACGGTGGGACTTAACTGCAGACATACTTTTTTCAGGGTTCCTTCCTATGTGGTGCCCTCTACAATAGTGTCGCACCATCCCAGTTGTGGAACTGAGTAGGCAGGCAAGTTTGCTGTACCTTTCTCAAGGTACCAAGGCAATGGTAATTCCTGACTCCAACTCCCTCCCACCCCAAAACAGGGGCAACAGGAAGTGATAAGTCACTTGAACCAGGCTACCTAGAAAAAACAAAAATCAAGGCATGGTGCCATTCCTAAGATTAAGCCATATTCTACACTACATTATGTTGGCATTTTATATGGAGGCATATATTCCTTATATTCTTATAAAAATTCCTTATTCCATCTTATATTCCTTAAAAATTGTGTAGCAAAAGGGCAAAGTCTATATATTCACTGAACAATGGCTGGCATCCATGATATATCAGGCCCTTATACTAGGCACCGGAGAAGCAGGTGATGAAAGCTCTCCAAAAGCTTGCAATCTTTGTTTAAACAAAGAATATGATAAAATGATTTGATAGTGACAATGATCATGGAACCATATATAATAGATATGTGACCGCCATTTTCTATAGTTCTTAGAAAAATTTTCCCTCATTCAATTCTGAGTTGTTATGGTTGAGAATTTTGAAGTAGAAAAGGTATTCAGTGCAGCCCCAGGATAGCCATCTATTTTCTCTTTTCAGTGGCAACCAGCATTGAAATACTAACTTCCTGCCACACAGCCACAGGATGTAAAATGAGAATCACCAGCTTCATACCAGAAGAATGACCATCAGAAAACTTGCTCCTGAGTCATGCTTATCAGAAAATCATTTCATTCCAACTACTTTTTAAGAAGTCTTCAATGACTGATTGCTTGCCAAATCTAAAAGGATGCCTTTTAGTCCCGATTTTCCTTAACATCCCTACCGCATTCTTACTGTATCCCCTTCAACTCTTTATGATACCACATTCATGGTTTTCTTCCAAGTTATCCAGTCCTTTGTTCTCATATTTTTGGGTGGTCTACTCTATAAAGGTTTTTATTGTCTAGGTTTCAAGTTACAAAAATCTCCTCCACATATTCTCCCAAAGCTATGTCATCCTCACTTGGTGAGTCTCAAATCTCATCTCCTCAGTCCTCCCCTGGGCTTTACCTGTAGATGTCTGCCTATTAGATGCTCCTTCATGGCTTGTTTACAGATCCAAAAGTCCCAAACTCATCTCAACTCCACAGTATGCTCTTATATCAGGGGCTGGCATCACTTAGATTCAGCTACCCTACCTGGAATTCCTCCTCCTCCTTCATTCCCACTTTCTCTAGTCCCCACTTTCTCAGGAGGCAATGTGGTCTGGTACCAATAGTATGATAGTAGTGTGTTATAAAAAAAAATGCTGGCATTGGAGTTTATCTGGCTGTTAACATGAGTTCTATCACTTGTTAGCTGTATGATCTCAGACAAGATGTCAGATCTTACTTGATTTCTTCAAGCATCCTCCTCATGACATCAATCTTGTTGTAAGGAAATGTAAAAGGTACTTATGTCTAATTGTGCTTGGAATAGAGGCAAAGACCACTACCTTAGTCAGCCTCAATAATTTTATCTCCTAAATCTCTCTTAACTGAAATTTTCTCCCCCCTCATTGCTGCTGTCTTACTTTTGAAACTGACCATTTGTTAAAGTAGTAGTCTGTCTATAGTTACTTCATCTTATTCAAGCCTCCTAAATTCCTTATAATACACTCCATAGACCATAACACTATTCAAAATGCAAATCCAAGCACACTATTTTCTTATTCAAAGTCCTCCAGTTGTGCTCTCAAGAATAAATAGCTAATGAGCTTCTCTGGAAACGAAAGGAATTAAGCTGCAGCACTATGAAGCGATCTGCAGCCACTGTAACACCAGCTCTATTCCCAGCCACGGAGCTAACCCACAAGGCACAGCAGACCTCTCCTGACTCAACCACTGCACCCTTTAGCAGTGTATTCAGTTAATCTGCCTGTTTTGTGCCCACTCTCTCCTGGCAAATCCTTTCATCTACCCCTCCCCAAACTTCTGGCCTGTACTCCAATTTTTATATGCATAAATAAAGCTTGAAAAAGAATAAATAGGAAAAATTCCAAGCATTATAATTCAGAGTACTAAGTTGTATTAGTTACAACTAATGTAAAAGCATTCTGAATTTAAGATATGACATTTCTTTCATTAAAACAAGTTCCCAGGTTAAGACTACCTTGTGTGAAACGCCTTTCACAAAGATGGTGCTGAAAGTAAAGAAGTCAAAGCCAATGCAAAAGCTTTAAGGGGCAAGAAGTAGTGCTGAAAGGTGTCCACAGTTATTAAAAAAAAGAGAGAGAGCGCGATCTGTATATCATCCACACCTGCAGCTCTGAAGGCAATTTGATGTCTTCAGAAGAGTGCACCCAGGAGAAACTAGTTTTACCACTAATACCATCAAGTTCCCCGACCATCAAGTTGGCCCAAAGAAGACAACACACGTGTGTTCACTGTAGATGTTAAGGACCAGCTCTAAGACAATGACAGGGCCAAGGTCAATACTGTGACAAGACTTAATGGTGAGAAGGAACAGAATCAACTGACTCCTGACTATGATGCTTTGGATGTTGCCAACAGAACTGAGATCACCTGCATTTAATCCAGTTGGCTAATTTTAAATATAAGTATTTTCACTGCTAAAAAAAAAAAAAATCAGCTTGTATGGATTTATAAAGCAGGAGGCCTCCCACTTTGCAAGTATTTACTATGCATACTTTGAAAACCCCAACTGCTTTTCATACTCATCTCAAATCTTGTTTTAAGGGCTTAGAACTTTCTCTTAATGAGTAGACAAGGGCTGAAGTTCCATCCCCCACCCACACATATACAAAATACCTAAATGGGTAAGAGTTCAAAAGCCCCAGTCTGTTCTCATGATGGGCTTAATGCAGCACATAAATATTCTATTTAGCCTAAAGCATACTCTTTGAATTCATCATGTTTCATTAGATTATAAATTTGAAGCTGACCTCTTGATGACTAAACTTTCAAAGGACACTGATAAAATGTGCTATGTGCTGTAATAGTATAAATAATTTTAAAGTCTTGCCTTTTGAAGTCAAAGAAAGGCTTACCTTTCAGAATAGGCATATTTGAGACTGAAGGCAAATATAGATTTTATTAAGAGAAACATTAACTCAAACTTTCTCTTGCCCAGATGTGGCTTTCTATGCTGAATATAAAAGAAAACTGTTTATCATAATGGTAAAAATTTTTATAACACATTAAATCTGTTTACAAAAATAATATTTAGTTACACATTACTCCTCACCTGTGTATTGCTCTATTCACCTTCTGGTACAACAATTTCATCTGATTATTATCAAGTGTTCCTTAAAATACAATCTCCTACATATGTATTTTTAAATACACTGATTAAAGATAGCATATTTACATTTACAAAATTTTGACAGCTATTCTGTTGTTATTTATATTAATAATCTTAACTTTCTGAAAAATTAGATATGTAAGATATGTAAGAGTCAATCTTCTCGGGCAACTTTAGTAGAATATAAAGCTTACTTAACCAATTTCCACCTCACCAACAATTCTGTATTAAACATTCCTTCTGTGAGACCTACAATTTACATAATGCCCACCCAAGGTGTTTTCCGGAGTGTCCAAGATCTTCTATTTCCACCAGTTGGAGTGTATGCTTACCAGGAGTTATTCATATTTATCACCGAACCTAAAACATGCCAGCCATAGTTATTGTTGCAATTTTGTAAGTGCTAAATAGTATGTCAGATAAAATGATTTAAAAAGAGCTATTCTTATGAAAACTAAGCTAAATGCTTTGGAAAGCCAAAAAAAGGTAGTAAATAAATCCTTTTAAAAAGTGCTGCTTTGGATTAGAATATCCTAAAACTGGTCCTTTGCAAACAAGTAGATTAAAAAACCAGGAGAGGGCCCTCCCTGGTGGCTGCAGCAGATTAAAGCACACCACTAAGAAGCTAAAGCCACTTCAGCATGAGTTTGATCCCTGGCCTGGAGGTGATCCACGTGGCACAGTGGACCTCTCCTGTCCCACCCACTGATCCCCTCAGCAGTGTACTTCGTCAGTCAGCCTGTTCTGCTCCCCGCTCTGTCTCTGATGAATCCTCACTGCCCCTGCACCTCTGGCCTGTATTCCAATTCTGTATGCATAAATAATCCTTAAAAAAATAAATAAATAAAACTGGGAGAAATGAAAGCTAGCTAGGAGAGAGTAGTAATTATAAAGAGCCACATACCTGAAGCTGACAAGGATGACATACAGTTATTATGCATTTTAGGAGAAGGGGGTGAGTAAAGGAAAAATATGATTAAGTTATAACAAGAAATCATACCACTCTTAAAGTTTTGTAATCATTGTGAAGCAAGGTTAAAATAACTCAATTAACAATCTTTATACATCTGTGTAAAAATAGAAGCAGCAAAGAACAATACTTGTGATTACTTGAAACAACTGTGTCTTTAATTTTTTAAAGTCAAACATACATAAAACCAGATGACTTTCTAATATAGTCAAGGCATTCGTTCTCATTTAATTCTTTCAGAGACCTGCTTTAAGAAATCTTAATTCTTTGCTAAAACTACCAAATAATTAACTGTTAGAAGTGCTTTTTCTTTTTCAATTCATTCCCCATCTGGCGCCTGCTTTTGGTTACTTGAGTCAATGAACAGGAGAATCAACGTTAAGGAGGAAATGGAAAATGACATTCAAATAATATGGCCTATTTCCTCCCCTCCAAGCACACCCTCACTACCTCTTCATGAAGAAAAACAAACTTTTAAGTCTTTTGGGGATGTCTGACTAGGACCACTGTGGGGTTCTTTTCAATAGATGGCATGCTACATTACAGTCCACTAAATACATTTCAAAACATCTGCACATTAAGTACTACTGCATTGACTATGAAAACATATATTATTAAAACTATAACTATAAAATAACTAGTAAATCTGGGAAAGAAGAGATAAGATATTTGAATTAGTTAACTTAAAAAATTAATTTCCACATTGTTATACTTACCTAGATTGGTTCTAACTTTAGTGTATTTGAAAAAAATTAGTATCTCATTAAGTACAGGAAAATGCTTAAGTAAATTTAACTCCTCCATCAATTTTAAGACCTGCTAAAGTACCCCAATTATTAAAATACTGTAACATGGTTATAGATGACAAAGGTTTCCCAATACTATAGTTGAAAGTCCCAATATTTTCATCATAATCAATGCTAGGATATAAACTCAAGTTTAAAACATTTCTATGCAAAAAAAAAAATCATTTTTATGCCATCAATGGAAAAAATTGCGCCTGCATGACATTATGAACAAAACTATATGCCATCTGACATAATGAATTAGGATTTTCTAAATTTAATTTTGCTATGTTAAAAACACAGCTTAACTTAGGTAACTTTGAAGTCTATTTTGTGAAATTCTCAAAGTAAAATATCACAACCATATAAACTCTGTTAAAGTTTTATAAGATTTTATTTTTGTTCTGGTAGTATCATTTATCAGAAAATATACGTGAAGATGCTTCCCAGTTGAGAGAATCAGGTTTTGAATGAGGCCCATAGAAGAATTACAGATAAGGTTTGCTTAGAGGCAATCATTCTTCAATCATGAGACAGTTATTCAAAGTCTATGTAAAAATCCCAAATAGCTTCCTAAGCCTAATGATTTTCCTCAAAATTGTTGCCAGTAATTTCCTCTAATACTCTTGGGTAGGAGAGTTAAATGTGCAAAACAAGTATTTTAATTTTTCAACTTTGCTGTAACAGGATTATAACAAGACTTAGTTGTTTTCACCAGTAATATCAGGATAAAAAATTCCCAATAGTTAGCATTAGGTTTCCTCTTAATTTGTTATATCACTTAAGAGTATCAGAAAAGGAAAATCCTTGAGCAAAAGCAAGTATTTATTCTTAAATAGTATACGCTTCATTAGGCAGGTCCCATGTTAAAGTATTTTAAATACCTTACACATTCTTTAATTGGAAATTAACAAACTAATTTAAAATGTTTAATTCTACCCATATGAGAAACTTTCCTGGAAACCTCTATTTCCATTTTAATAATTTTGAAATTACAGTCAATGTAAGAAAACAGCTCTTTCAAATTTAACTTTTATATATGTAATCTATCAGTTCAATAAAGTAGAAATACTTCACAGAATTCAAAGACAATTTCAGGTTTATTTCCTTAACCAATGTTGGTTGTATATCAAAATAGAAATGATTTAGCTGTTAAGTGTTTGCATTGTTCACTTTTATTTTTAAAAGTCTATCTAAATGGAACATGACACTTGAAAGCTTTTGAAAAGACTGCTCACTTTGACAAACTTGGCTCAACTTTCTGGTGTAATACAAAGAATATCAAGTCAAGGGAAAGAAACAGGACTGGAAACGTGTCTACATTAAGAAAGATTCATTCAGTCAGGATCCTTGTATATGTTAACCTAAAACTCTTCCCTACTTTTAATGAAATGGCCATAATTCTAACCAAGATTTCATATTTTAATTATGTGTGACTTCTTCAGCAGGAAACTACAGTAGCTGATGGAATCTGAAGTGTGGTAAGTTCCTCAGTAGCTGCAAAGTTCATTAACCTTCAGGGAAATGTGACAACAAAGACTAAAGAGCTCCTCTGTGTTTATAAAGTCAATAAAAATTTATTCATATACTCTTGTAAAAATACGTGTATACACACACACACACAAAAAAAAACAACAGTGTAATTACAACTTTCACACTCACCAAAATGATTCAACATGTCACTGGAAAGCATTTGCTTACAATAATGTATTTGCAGATGTATCAAGTGCCTGTCATTATCCATACTTAATATGACAATGCTTTTACTCACCCAGGATCAAAACCACTTAAATCTTTTTTAAAGTTGTATTAGGAACAGTAAGTAGTTCCTTAAACATCAGTTTTTAATACTTAGCATGTATTAACTAAAACATAGATTGCCTTATTTTGGGTGTGGGGGGAGGGGTTGGGGTAAGGATTACTTTTAGTTTACAAAGATTTAGAGATTTCTATGATTTATCGAAGAAAAGCAACTTGTTACCCAAAAACAGGATCTAGAGTAGGAAAAAATGTGGTGCCCACAGGAAAAAAAGCAGAAAACATGAATTATTAATCTAATACAATTTTCATACTGTATCTCTACCACCATACATCTAGGTTTTTATTTCCTTCAAGGGAAGGTGGCTGCACTATCGGCTTGGCAGATGAAGCAGAAAACAATTTTCAAGAAAGTCACGTAGTTAACCTGCACTTTTAAAGGGGACTCTTTCAGGTTTAGTTGGACTTTTCAGGTTGATCTTGCTAAATTTCTGAAAATTTGATTGCAAACTGACAGCTGTTTCACCAAACACACTGCAGAAACATGACTTCAAACTTAGGAACCTGGTATAACCGGTAACAGGTTAAAGAACTAAGTCAAATAATGTGTTACCTATTCAGCAAGTTCTGGGAACCTTGGTGGAAGTCCTAAAAAGGCAAAATCAAAAGTAAAGACTACAGAGAAAATGCAGTTTCCATGAGCGGTCAAGGATTTTGTTCCTTCTTCGCAACCTTACAAAGTCTTCGCATTATCTCATCAGATCTATCATGTCTGGGGGCCTGAAATGACTCAACAGCAATCTCCCTCGGACTCGTTTCCGAGTAGGAATTAGTGAACGTTAGTTAAACTTAAAGGACATAAAATTGAAACAAAAGTGCTGCCAATTGTCGGCTGCGGTGACAAACCCACGTCCTTACGTCTTGTTTTCTTCTTAGTTTACAAGAGGGGGAGCCACATTCATTAGAAAGACTTTTCCAACTTTTGCTGAGTTCAAAAGGAATCAAGGAGGACTCAGAGAGCAGCCGAGCCCGTTCCAGCCTTGGGAGAGCTACGCGACTAAACCGAAGAGGGTCGCGGGCCGAGCGGAGAGGCGAGCGTCCGCCGCGATGTCTGGAGGCCCAGGGGCCGGCGCAGCGGGCCCGGAGCGGGAGGGCGCCAGCCCGGGAGGCCGCTCCGCTCCCGCTCCCCCGCTCCCCGGCGCGGCCCGACGCCCCCGACCCGCTGAAACCAGGCTCCGCTCCGCCTCCAGCCTCCGCCTCCTGCGCCGCGTCGCCGGCTCCTAGGTCTCTGGGTCCGGGGCCGAAGCGCCACTTACCCGCCGCGATGGGATTTACGTAGCGGACCTCGTCACTGATTACGGACGGGAGGAGGTGGAGACGGCAAGCCCGACCGCCGCTCAGGAGCGGCGCCGCCGCCCAGCAACCCGGCGCCGGCGCCGGCGGCGGCCCCACGTCGCCCCCACGTCAGCTCTGA